TATGCACGGGCTTTCTATACCCTTCTTTGAACTTTTCGTAACATCCACCGAGGTTTTAAACAACGAAAGTGATTTATTTTTCAAAACAAGAAAGTGCAAGGCTGTCCCATACCTGCCCACGAGTTTGAACCAGTGGAAACGGTCATAAAAGGGGTCGCTGCCGGTCACCGCGGCCTCGCCGTCGTCCTGGGCGCTGGAGGCCACCTCCCCAGCCCGGTCGTACATCTCCCGCATCAGCTCCAGCCTCTGCCTGTGCGGGGAACACGGAGTGCCGGGTAAGGACGGCGTGCAGTGCATCTGCTCCAGAGGCATCTTCCAGGGAAGAGCAGAACAAAGCCGCTCCTACCACCCCACGTGCTAAGAGCACAGACGCCAAGCGCACAGGAACCCGAGGCCTCGGCACCCACAGCTAGCGAGTCGAGAGGCAAAGTAGAGAAGCCGGCACCTCGTCTCTGGGAGCCCCGGGACAAAAGCGTCCAGCGGGTGTCGTCGCAGACCCACTGGGCAGCAGGACTCAGCTCGGCACCAGAGCTGCGGGGGCCGCCTCTGTCCCCCTCTACCGTGAGGCAGGAGGGAAACGGTGAGGACTGCCGGACCCAGCAGGGTTCGCGGACTTGGGATACTTAAAATTTAACAGAGGGCCGGGGGGGCACATTCCCCTGGTGTGTACAAAGCAGAGTGGGGCCCTTCACGTGGGAGGCAGTGGGTGGAAAGCTGCCCACCCGCCGCAGCCAGGGGCACCAGCGGGCTGGGGGTGAGGGGTCCCCTTGCGTGGCCACGATTGTGGGTTTCCCACGTGAAGCGGCTGACTGGGCGGTGTGCTCGTACTTGAGTTTCTCCAGAGACCAGTAATGCGTTGCTCCGTTCTTCAGGTCCTGGACTTCCACCGCCACCACGGTGCGGGGGAAAGGCCTGTCTTCGTGAGCTTTCCCCATCTCAGTGGGAAGCAGTTCAGGAGGCAAAGGGGAGTACAAGGTGTCAGTCAGCAGAACAAATTGAAACTGCACCTAGAGGGGAAGAAGGACCGTCAGCAGGCGCCTCCCACCTCAGCCAGCCACGGGAGGGGGCGGCAAGTCACGCCTGGCGCGCGGCCAGACGAGCAGCAGGAGGTCAACAAATAGCCTGAGAAAGGGCCCTGGCACAGCATCGCGGAGGACAAGCCTGAGAGCGGGTTAAGCTCCTGTCTACACTGCCCTCCCAGCCTGGGCACACCATGTTTTCGCACAAGCTCAAAATCTCCAAAAATAGTTTTCGGTTGCCTGATGAGGATTTTTGCAGGATTTATACAAGACCGTGTAAGGTAGACCCAAGAATGCCTCTCCACCCCTTACTGATGGGAGGGAGGGGGTCATGTCATGGTTTTCCATCTTAAATTCAGAGGATTGCTGGGCCTCCTCGGTGGGCTCAGCGCTGTTACCATGGCAAAGTGAGTTCCATCCCCAGCCAGGGAGCGACCCCCAGGGCGCAGCAGACCTCTCCTGTCTCCCCGCTGCTCCCCTCAGCAGTGGATTTCAGTCAGCCTGCCTATTCTGCTCCCCACTGTCTCTGGTGAACCCCCTCACCCTCTGCGCCTTTGGCCTACACCCCATGCCTTCTACACACACATGCACACGCAATCCAGAGATGGCAACGGTGACTCTTCAAAATTATCCTACAGATCAATGCTTTGCACACACCCTATGATCTATTTCTCACTACTATCTTATATTTTCACCAAAAAACACTAATTAAACGCTAGACACAGCAGGAAGTTCAGAAGATACAGACGCCGCCTTCATTTCATTTACTTGAAGAGGGGCAGACAGTAGGTAACTACAGAATGGCCGGGCTGTCTGGATTACGGATGAAGTCCATTTCCTGTCTCCACTGGACAGACAGACTGCGGCCCTCGGAGACAACACGTGGGTTTTCCCAACCCAGGCAGCCTGTGCTCTTCCCTCTCATGCAATGCTGCCTCCCCCGGAACGCTGGAGAGTTAGGGGACCACTGAACGGGGGTGATGGGGTGCACAGAACGCGACTAAGACCTGGCATGGTCTGCAGCGCTCGGGAAGCTCCTAACGTGCACGCAGGCTTTGTTCAGGGCCGGCCTGTTTCAGCACTTCCGGTGCTCTGTGGCTCCTCACAAAATCCCCCAGGTGGGGGCAGGGAGCGCTGCCTGGGACCACTGGGCAGGGCTTGGCCCTAGCTGGCTGGGGGCAGAGCACACAAGCTTGTCCCTTAGCCGACTGAATGGCAGAAGACTAAAAGCAAATCGACACCTCCAGAAACCCAGGAGGAACCATCTTCTACTGTTTCCCAGGCTCAGGCAGAAGTACCGTCTCCTGGTTCACAGAACGAGCTAGAAAACACTGCTTCCAAATTTCATTTAATAAATATTTGGTGAGTGCTGACTGTGTTCTAGGCACACTACTGAGGGAAGCACCGTGGCCTGGGCCGCCAGGCTGGGCTTGGCCTCCGGCCCGCGCTCGCCGCCTTACCTTCTTCTTGAGCTCCACGCTGATGGCGTTGGCCTCCTTCAGGTACACAGCATTGCCCCAGAGGAGGTCCCGTAAGGAGGTGAACTGGTGGGACTTCCACTTCCGGAAGGCCCACTGGGCCAGCTCAAACTCGTGCTGTGTCCAAGGAACTGGAAGAGCAAGGGGCAACGGTCAGGGGCGCTTCTCGCTGTCCCGCGACACCTGCTTCTCCCGCGACGCTTATCAGCCTATTTTCCCATTTTTTCTCCATTCAGCTGCTTTTGTTTTTCTTATCTTCAGTAAAAGTTACTAAGTTCTTTTGCTTTATGAAAGTAACATCTGCATTTCAGAAACCCTAAAAATCCCATTTTTTTTTTAAAGATTTATTTATTTATGCATACAGAACTGGGGTACAGGCCAGAGGTGCAGGGGCGGCGAGAGGCTTCACCAGAGACAGGGTGGGGGGCAGAACAGGCAGATCCACGAAGTACACTGCTGAGGGGAGCAGCGGGCGGGTCAGGAGAGGTCTGCCGCGCCATGTGGTCACCTCTGAGGCAGGCGGGAATCAAACTCATGCGGAAGTGGCTTTAGCTTCTCAGTGCTGTGCTTTAACCCGCTGCGCCACCAGGGGCCAAAATCCCATTTATTTTAAATCGTGCCTTTCTCTTTTGATTAAAGATCTATCTTGATGTGGCGCTTGGCAAACACCCCCCAAAGTAGAGTTATGTTATTCATACATATCTGCTTTTCCTTCTAGTACAGGGAAACAAAGTCATAGTTCACCCCAGACGCTTCAAAGCAATGACTTTAGTGCATACATCAAGAGTCTTCAAATTTAAACTGAAGCCTTGGGGTCACCAACAGAGGTGAGTGTCTCATTGCAAAGTGATGATGTTCAATACCGTGCTGCAAGGCAGGGACTAGCAATACAGACCCCAATTCGGCTACAAATTCTGGGAAAACTAGGGTAAGTAGGTGTGATCACACACTGTGGTTAGGAATCCACTGGAAATTACTTTAATGGGCAGTAATCTCTCTCCAAGTCCTCACTGGGAAACCCTGGCCTAGTCCATGAACTGTACCTAGAGCAGAACACCCCAAGCAAGGTCAAGCGCTGAGTTCACCTGCACCATGTGAACAGGCTCCTTGTGCGGCCAGTGTGAGAAACCACGAGCTGAGTTCACCCCGGAGACTTTTACGAAGATGGGGCTGTTGTGAGCCCCAGGATACCTCAGGGACGGCAGCCTGGATTTTTAGCATTGAGCACCTTTTACCCATCTATGAAGCGGCTCAGTAAAATGTTGGTAGCTGGTAAGGCCAGCTGGGGTCAACTCCAGTAAGGATGGCAGATGGAGGGTGACCAGCTGCTGAGAGTTGAGAGCCAGCTTGGGCTCCGGGCGCTCACCTTCCTCTTCCTCTTCTTCCTCTTCGGTCGTGTCTGCAGCCAGGGATCGGGTCTCCACCTGCTTCTGCAAGGCCTGCAGCTTGCTCTCATAGTCCTGATTGAAGAGAAAGGAGATCGCATGTAGGAGAGACAGGACATAAAGGGGGCGGGAGAGAGAGAGGAAAGGAGCACTGGGCGAAGACAGAGCGCCAAAGACGGAAGAGGAGCGAGAGGCCAGAAATAACAGCGCACACACACAGAGGAACTCTCGGGAAAAGACACACAAGGGTCTGTGCTGGGCAAATGCTAAGAACAAAAAAGAACTCGAGTGTCTTTTACTGCCCCTGGCGAGAATTCTTTATATGAGGCTGCAGTCGAGACAGCGGGGATGATTCTGAGGGACATGCATGGTCCCCTAAACATTCAGATACACTTAAGGAGCGGCGGTCGCATCACGGAATTCCAGGGAAAGACCACGCGGGCAACCTGGATTCACAGGTACTGCCAGCAGTCCCAACTAGCTCTTCTGGTGGAAGACAGGGCCAGAGGTGCTGCAGCTCCCCAGGGGTGCAGTAACATGACCTCATGCCCATAGGGCGTGTTTAGCCTCCAAGTCGTGGAAAGAAGATGGTGGTACAGCTAGGGTTGACCTCATCTACGAACGCACTTAGTTATTCAAGGAGACTAAAAAATACAATGATGGCACACAGGTTACAGCGCGGCACTATACCCCCAGCCAGGGAGGGACCCCCAGGGCGCAGCAGACCTCTCCTGTCTCCCCATTGCTCCCCTCAGCAACGCATCTCAGTCAACCTGCCAGCTCTGCTCCCCACTCTGTCTCTGGGGAATCCTCTCAGCCCCATGCCTCTGGCTTACACCCCAGTTCTTGTGTGCATAAATCAATCTTTAAAAAAAAATTAAAAAATAAAAAGTACGATGATAATACAAATCAAATGCATCCTTCACTTCTCCACCTGCTCCACATATTCTCAATGAAGGCACTACCACTCCAAAGGAGGCAAAAAGAAGTTTCTGTGGAATTAAGAGGTACCCTTGTATAGATAAAGCGCACACACACAGACAATGTGCCAGTATGCAGTGTCTGATTTACTAAAATCTTTGCAAGGGAGAGATTAAAGGGAAAACGGTCTAAAAAGGTTCCCTGTGTTAATGAAAAGAGGCTTGAATTTCTCTGAATATAAAACAGGAAGCGTAAAGAAAAGAGACCTTCATAAAGAAAGGGGGTCCTAGCATGCGCAGAACATTTTTGAAATATATTGTCCAGATTTCCTGCTTGGGAGTGACTCAGTGACAGGGTGTCACGAGACAGAAGGGTTAGTTATGGCCACGGACTGCTTTCCAGCAGAACTCCCCAAGCCACAAACCAAATATTCCCTGCATCAGGGGCCACCAAGCGCCCCCAGTTAAGTCCACCCCACACAGAGTTCTCCATGGCAATGCTAAGAAGCGCAATGCGTGGCGAGGGTCCAGGCACTTGGCATGTCGTCTCTGTTCTGGAGGGTTCTGGCAGTGAGGTGAGCCAACCAGTTTCGTTATGTATCTAAACACACTTTTTAAGGTGGCAAAAAAGAAAAGGTTTAGGCTGAGGTCCTGGTACTTGCTCGTACTAGTTTTATAATTCTGGGCAAGTTAAATCATCTTTCACCTTTGAAACTAAGATTTTAGGGCCTCCCTGGTGGGCCGCGGGATAAATCTTAGTGCTATTGTGGCTAAGGCTTGAGTTCGATCCTTGGCCAGGGAGTGACCCACGGGGCGCAGCAGACCTCTCCTATCTCCCCGCTGCTCCCCTCAGCAGTGGATTTCAGGGGATCTGCCTGTTCTGCTCCCCACTCTGTCCCTGGTGTGAATCCTCTCACGCCCTCCACCCCTCTGGCCTGTACCCCCGTTCTTGTGTGCATAAATAAATACATCTTAAAAAACAAAAGGAAGATTTTGGCCCTTGGGCTACCACACAGGAGAAGGACCAGCAATGATGAATCATTCAGAAACACAGGTGAAAGTCCTCTTAACTGTAACACCCTATAAAACGACAGGAATACTTAGAAAATAAGCTTTCCCAAAAGGCTAACACCAAATTTCTAACTATCATTCCCCACTGAAAGGAAGCAGGTTTCCTTAGGAAAACGACCAACTCCAGGTTTGGCATGAGGAGGGCCCCAGGTGAGCCCAGATCGCCCTGTTCAGAGAGCACAGCAGTGGTCGAAGGCCAGGGAGGCCTTTTCCGAAGGACAGAGCCCACTGGCAAGAGGGGAGAATAGCAAGGAAAGAGCACAGGAAACACTGCGGGAGGAGGAGCCCACTAGACCGCCACGGAGTGGGAGGGAGAGCCGGGCGGGCCGGCGGGCAGCAGGCAGGCCCCAGGCGCAGCCCAGGGCCAGCAGACCCCTCTGACAGGAGAGGCGCTGGCAACATCCTGGGAGCCACAGTTACTCCACTTTGTCAGCAAGAGGAGGACACAGAGACGTGCCACAGAGGGCGTCTGCTGAAACGCCTCCCTCGCTCTGCCCAGAGCAGCCATCCCGCACCCCGCCTTGAGGAAATCAGACCGTGAGAGGTGACCCCAGCGCCTCGGGAGGCAGGAGCGGCAGCTGGCGCTGGGCCCGGGCACAAGCCCGCGCCTGGACTTCTAGCGCTGGTCGTTTTTAGGGTCTCTGGGGCCTCAGGAAACGGACCACACTTTAGGGTCTTCAGCTCCTTCGTTAGGTTCACTCCCAGGAATTCAGTTTGGGGGGATGTGATTGTAAATGGAGCCATTTTCTAAATTTCTTCCTCCCCCAGCTCATTGTTTACATAAAGGAACAGACTACATAAATATATAAATATAGTCTGCTCCTGTTATATATATACACATATATAAAAATACAGTCTGTTCCTATGGAATATATAATTATATATTATAATATGTAATGTAATGTTATATATTAATGGCAGGACATCAGTATTAAGTTTCGAGGCTGGGATGGTACTAAGAGAATCCCCTCGGCTTTCGGAGGTACACTGGGAAGTATTTGGGGTAAACGGTCACCACTGTAACTTACATTCAAATGACTCCGGGAAAAACATAGGCATGTGTTCGCAGAAGCTCATTATACCGATTTGATTATCTTTTTCTTTGGCCTCTCTGTAGGTTTGAAATGTTTGACAATAAAAGTGCAGGAAGGGGAAAGTTCCTTCTCCCACCAAAAGCCAGTATATTACATGGGATCCTTTCAGCAAAGAGGAAAATTGTTGGTTGACCTAAAAATCCTCACGTGGAAAATGTTAGTGCTTTATCTTGAGGATTTTCCCTGCTTTATTTTCTCCCCCAGTTTAAAAAATCATCTTCAGACATGCACGGTATTTAGCACCTTCACCATGTTTGAGTGTTCGGTTTGGGGGCGTTGAACGCACCTGCGAACCTCAGCATCATCACTGGCCCGCAAGACTCTCCGCACCTTGCGAAAGCCAGCAGCAGCCTGACTGGCCCCTCCCGCCCCTCCCCGGCCTCCCTCTCCTTCCCCCCGTGAGTGCTGACCTCTCTGAGCCTCTCCCCGGGGCTCACACCGCACTGGTTTTTGAGAATTTCTGTAAGCCCGGGGCCTGTCAAGGAAAACAACGTCCTTGTATCGGAGAGTGAACTGACCGGACTCTGGCCCGCAAAGAGTCCCTCGTGCTGTGAGCCCCAAACCTCACTTTCCAGGGAACTCTCTCAGCAGTGGGTACCCCAAACAGCAACACCATTTCCCCAGGGGAACCCCCTTCCTAAGCCAGGGACTGCCTAGGAGCGTCCCACGAGGAGATTCTGCATGTCCTCAGAAAAGCGCAGCGCTCAGTCTCCCTCCAACCCGCCGACAGAGGCCCTGATCTGACTCTTTAATGTCACGGTGAAAATTAGGCCACTTGTGGGAAGCACGCTGGGTCCATTCAGAAGACGCCTCGTGCTCAACAAGGGTCCTAACTAGCTGGGCAGATGCGGCGGGGTCTGTGCTCACTGCCCACGGTCGCCCTCGTCTCTGCTTGAACTCTGAGATTCTTACTGCTGGCGGCTCTTCCTGCCCGTCCTCTCGGGTGGTGGTGACAGGCACAGGTGGGTGGGCATTCACTCGCAGCAATGCATCTCTCCCGTGAAGTCGCCCAGAGTCCCCACCCGCCCCCGCAGCAGGCACTGTTACCCCCATTCCACACCTTCCAGTCACGGCCGCTTTGTGGGCCCCGGCCCGGCCGTCGCCAAACCGCTGCCCACCCCCTCGCCGGCTCAGCTCGTGATCTCCAGCCTGACGACGACGGCCTGAGCGCTGTCTGTCCCTCTGCATGTCGCTTATGGTGACTTCCCCCCTAACGATACAAAAGCTGAGTTGACTCGCTGCATCGGAGACCACGAGGCCACCAAGCCTGAAACAGGAGCTGTCCGGCCGCCGGCAGAGCCCTGGGCGTGGGGTCTCTAGGTTCTCAGCAGCGCCCCCTGGGGGCGCCAGCGCACGCTGCCGCGGGGTCGGCTCTCTAGGGTGGACGCCCACAAGAACCAGGCGGTCCTCATCCTGAAGTTCCTTGGAAGCCCCAAACGACCACAAAGACAGGGTACGACCATCATTGCTGGGACCGCGAGCTGACCCAGGTTGGCTGCAACAGGCGAAGAGGCACCTGGGTGCAGATCTGGGGGGTATCAGACGAGGAGAGGCTCCAGTTTGAGGAAGTGCGAAGGCCCAGAGGGCTCCATCCTGAAGGCCAGTCACAGGTGAGGGTGTCAGGAAAGGCAGCAGCCAGGAAGCCGGGGAAGCACCAGAGGCCACTGATAGGATCTGACTTTTGTTCTTGAAAGATAATGCTTTGAAGTGCTAGTTGCTATGCAGATGATGGATTACAGGGGTCAAGACTGGACCGGAGGCAGTCAGGAGGCTGCAGCCGCCTGGCTGATGGGGACACAGCAAGACCAGCGTCTCTGAGGAGCGGCCCGAGCCGTCAAGGTGGCATCCTGGGCTGCTGGTGAGCCTATGCCTGACATCAGAGGCTGGGCTCCTTCGCCGGCACTGCCTTCCTCGTTAGTGACACATAGTTAGCAGCAGCAGCCAGAAAGGCGCTTATCCGCACCCCCGTTTTTGCAGCACCCCACTGTGT